AGTTTACAATGCAAATTTCTAACGTTTCTTTCCTATGTTCAAGATCGTATAACAAACTTTAAAATTGACCTGTTCTTTGTAGGTCATAAAAAGAAATATTAAAAGGCACGAGAGATGTACATTAAAGAGTAATTGCGCTGTCGTTATTATTCGTCATACAGTAACTACAGTTTAAGATTAACTTGGATTTCTATAAAAATACAAGGTTATGAGGCAACGGTAGCCCTTACATGAATTTACAAATGAAGTTGATGTTCCATACCGTAATGTTGACGAATAAAGAATTTTCGGTTTAACATTAGTGAGAGAGTTATGTGCCACAAGATCTCCAACCGAAATCTAACGAAAAACGAACCAGAATATAAACACAATAAGAAAACAAGCCACGTTTGGAATCCTACATAGCTTTTAATTTTCAGGAAAAGGAATGTCAGAAATTCTAAACAAAAAAAAAACGGAATATACAGATACCGCTCTCTAAACCAGGTGAGAAATCCATACTTCAAAATATTGATACACTAAACTGGAGATATCTATTACAAAGTTATTAAATTTAAAGTGGATATATCTCTTGCTTGAAACAAAGTGGGAACAACCATTATTAAATATTAAAAAGGGAGGTATTTATGACATACATTTGAAACAAAGAAACCGGATATAATTCTTAAACAAATATCAAAATATGAAAAATCCATACAAAAGGAAAGTCATATTAAAATATTAAATGTAGAAGAAATATCTTACAAAACGTTAAGTGGAAATATCTGTGAAAAACCTACAAGAATGAAAACTCTTATACTAACACCATATATGAAAGATCAATAAATCCTTCTGGTATATTGGAGAGAATACTTATCTAAGACATCTTTTACCAAGGCCAATAAATGTTAAAAAAGAAAACAAAATCAATATGAGAAAATGAATGTAGCTAACTCGTATTCAAGAAGAGTGCCGGAATAATCAAGCATACAAGATTAAAAATGAAGGGGAGATAGCTGTAAATGAAAGAAAAGATTACACTTTCAGATATTAAACAGAAGAGGTAAACGTTAGCTAAAATGTAAGAAAATTAGGGGAGATAACTCTTACTAATATATATATATATATATATATATATATATATATATATATATATATATATATATATATATATATATATATATATATATATATATATATATACACATATATATATATATATATATATATATATATATATATATATATATATATATATATATATATATATATATATATATATATATATATATATGTGTGTGTGTGTGTGTGTGTGTGTGTGTATAATTAAAACAATTATCATAAAGGCTAAATAAATAATAATATTATACAGACAACAAATACCACACACACACACACACGCCCACGTGAATTTCCATCGTGACAGGCAAAACCTGATATTCATGCCTGAAGAGACTGAAAATGTTAAGATGATAAAGTGCCCAAGATTTTATAGAAGATGTTATTAAAGACGAAGTCAAAAAGGAGCAATACTGGACTGAGAAGTGGAGACTTCAGAAATGTGTAGACTTCAGGAACAGCATAGAGAACAGGAACAGCAGCATAAACAGCAGGAGCCATACAAAGGTTTTGTAGACTGCCGTGTGAGCAGAAAATAGTTTATCATTCTATTTCCGCAGTAGAAGACCCTATCCTTTGGGAAAGCTTGCAGAGAGATGGGTACACAGTCTTATATGATACGTGATTACCATAACCCCACAAAAATAGCCCTTTTAAGGGCCTCACAAGCACTCTAGAAAAGAGATACTAGTCAAATTGCCAAATTATTTGTTTGTCTTTGTGTGTTGGTCGGTTAAATGATAGAAGTGTGCCTATAAACACTTCGTTTCTCTGACTTGTAAGATAGTCTATGTGTTTTCATATATGTAGGAGGGATACTAAAGCGTGTATTTGTAGATAAAAAAAATGAACGTGAGCATTTCTTTTACGTCTGCGTGTTTTGTTATTGATGGTGCAGTGGATAGATTCTTAGTTACTCGTACAATCTAAATTGGACTACGTGGGTCAAATATAAGCTGCAGTCAACGAGACGCTACTCAAAAAACTAGATGCGCTACAATATAGAATACTCGAACTATGCACAGGACCACTACCAAACACATCTTTACAAGAACTACATGTCCTAAGAGAAGAACTTCCATTACAACTAAGACGGGAAGAACATATCCTGCGACTATTAATAAGAAAATCTACACATGAGGACAGAAACTCAACAAAACAAACAATTCAACAATGCAGACAACCATTTAGCCGTGTCCGGAACCCCTCGCGGCCAGCAGATTTCACCCACTCTGTGAAGAAATAGAATTTTCAAGCAGAACAGTGTGTAATCAGGGATCACACACCGTGGAGGAATAACGCCCCCAAAATCAACCTAATTTCACAAACATTAGGAAACAAATCACAAACTCCAAGGAAAATAATAATGGAAATCCAAACACTACCCAGGGAAATGTATGCAGATTATACCAAAATATTTACAGATGGATCCAATACCATGGAACTTAATAGAACATCAGCAACGGTGATACCCGAACAATAAACCCAAATAGGTGAAGACGCCAAGATGACTGTTCCATCTCAGCTGAATTCTGGGTAATATACCAATCATTGAAGTGGATTCAAACCCAAACGCAACTCAGACATGTTAAAATCACATATTCATTAATCGTCCTGAAATCTATTGAAATGGGATCACCCAAAAGCAGAGAAATCATGCTAGAAGAAACATTGCATCTGCTAGATCTAGAGGATAAACATCAGTCCTTTTAATTTGTATGGGTCCAATCGCTTATCAACCCGATCGGAAACGAAATAGCAGAACTAGATGCGAAAAGAAACCTCCTCACCAGCGACACATCCACTCCCCTACAGCCTTTAGGAACGATACAGTCAAGTAAATCAACGCATTAATCAGAAATGGCGACATAAATGGAACACCTCCAATAAAGGAAGACACCTATTCCAACTGCAAAAAGAAATCAGGAAAATCAATGTCATAAAGGATATGGAAGTAGTAGACGTAAGGTCCATGACAGGGAAAACCTTTCTAAAAGACAGCTTCGAAAAATACATCAAGGACCACTGCAACCACAACAACTGCCGGTATTGCCCAGTCCCGGAAAACAGAATGTCAACCTAGAAGCATAATATAATATCAAAGACAGATTAACACGTACTGGAAAATATAAGCAAAGCAGCGCGGAAATACAACGTACGAGAAGAAATCAAGATTTCACATCAAATATACAAACCGCCCATCACCACAATGCTAACATACAGCATTAACATTAACCGGACTTACAACTAACAATTAAACATTCACAAGTATCCCCCAGGCGAGTTAGGCTTAACCACACCAAAGTTTATGGAATAAGGTTAAGTAACACCAGATGAGAATAAGGATTAAGACATCAAAAATCACAAAAAATACAAATCGTCAGAACATCAATGGAACCAGGTGTCAGAATGATGTGACTGGGTGTGACATCATGTTACATGTTTGCGGCATGATGCCCCATTGCTAGACATCACTATAAACTGCCACACTACAGACGTCGTAATGATATGACTGATTTTTTTTTAAAAAGCTACGTTAAAAATCCTAATCATATCACATCACATCACAAGGGAACCAAACCTATCAGATAATAAACCCAAACTCAGTCCCTGCCCTAGGGCAAGCACTCGCCCGCACAAGAGCAAATTCTGGCTCATTCTCACCTACCCGTGCAAGCTCTGGCACAAAACTGGGAAGCACAGGCTCAAGCACTGGGCAAGCACTAGCTCACCTCTCCATGTAAGCATACTGGCACACATCTTGGCAAGCACTGGTCCACAGGATAAGCAAACAAGGCAAAAGGTGACAAATTCACCTCGTAAAAATGTTTTTATCGTATACTCCAAGCTACAAGGCTTACAACTACTATCATACCCCTCTCTTCACCCTCCACTTTCCACTAACAAAAGGACCCAAAACATGTGCTATGGAAAAACACACTAGCAGACACTAGGGTGTAATCCTGAAAGGAACAAGTCCGTGCTGCAAAAGACTTTCCACTATAAGCCCTAAACCAAACTCCCTTCTAACCACCCTCTTCTAACATACCAACTAACAAAAGAGCTCAAGACAGAAACTAGGAAAAGCAAACTAGCAACACCTGGATGGAGTCCTGCATACAACATGCCTGTGTGATACAAAGATTTTCTATCATAAGCCCTTCTCCATCTCCCTTCTATTACAGCCTCGACACCTACCAACACATGGGGATTAAAACATGTGCTAGAGAAACAGACTAGCAAACATGTGTTGACAGATTTTCCATCAAAAATTCCCTTCCCCCACCCTCCTTTCCCTTCTTTACCCATAGAACGTTATTAATACGAGAAGCACTTCTATTGGCAATCGAAACCTCGTTCAAATACACATAACTACCTTTATTCTTTGGACTCTCCGCCATCAAAAACAATAACTAAGACTAACGAAGCGTGACTCCAACCAAAATCACAGGGTTGCTGACACCCAGCTGATTGGTATAAGTTTGACAATGGAAGTAAGCTTAGTACTCAAAATTCCAACGACACAAAAATAAGACTAAGCAATCTTCAACTCAGATCTTATGTCAATTGCACAGGTGGCTTACACAATACTAGGGATAGGGAACGTCCACTAAAACAACTGGACATAAATTTATCTTCTGTGACAAGGACCAAACCAAACGAAAGGACACATCACCATTTGAGAGAAGTGTCGCTTTAACAATTTTTTAGTTATATCGCTATGATGTCTGCACTGTGGTAGTTTATAGCGATGCCTAGCACTTGGGCATCAAGCCGCAAACATGTAGCATGATGTCCCACCCAGTCACACTAGCCAAATACCAGACCGACCAGTCCTTACACAAACCTCTTAATGTTAAGCGTCAAGCAAGGCAGCTTTTTGTACCATTTTTGTAAGTCTTTTTTATGGCTTGACTGGGATCGAACCGACGACCTTCCTCTTCCGAGGCGGACGCTCTAACCACTAAGCCACCATAGATAGATAGATAGATAGATAGATAGATAGATAGATAGATAGATAGATAGATAGATAGATACATACATACATACATACATACATACATACATACATACATACATACATACATACATACATACATACATAGAATATTTTGTCGAAAATTGAAATCTTTTCAAGGCATTAGAATTGGCCCTGAAAAGGAGCATTTTTTGTTATGTTAACATCAGTTTGTTAACATACTGGACATCTCACTGATCGTCTTCTCTTTCTCAAACTACGTCTCACTTCTGGACAGTAGATGAGGACTCTCTTTAGGAACCCTTGTCTCTCCACACAGATTTCTCGTATCCAAAAGGCTGTATCAGTGACCTGGATAATGGCCCATGATGATCTGACATACATGGGATAATCCGGGTTTAACATCATTGACACAAGAGTGTAGACGATTCTACGTTGGTCCACATGTTGTGACGAGAACAGGTGAAAGGAATGAAGTGAACCGCGTTTATTTATAGGGGAAGACGGGATCTAAACGGGTTGAAATTGTTCACCAATCCCAATACGAGTTACAAAATTCAACCTCTCATCCTTCTAGGAGAGCTACACGTGACGTCACAATCCATATATACGTGCAGTAGCGTTTGTTCGCAGTGAAATTATGTGACGTTGTTTTGTGCAAAGTTCATAGGCGCTATTTTGACTTTCATTCAAACCCCATTACACATTTGGTAATAATAATAACATTTATTTTCACTTGATTTGAAACATTATTTGAATTGAGATTGATAGGCAGAGAAAACTTATGAACATAGTGAGACCTTGACTCCGTGCGAGGACGAACAATTTGATGGAAATGCATGCACTCTCGAAGCATTGCATATAATTGTTAGGTGCGTGACTAACAGAAGAATCGAAACACTGATCCGATTCTAGAAACATACAAAAGTTTAGTTTCGCTGCTGTGTATTGTTACAGATTTGATTGGAACGCCATCTAGTATGCAAACATGAAAATTTGATATCAGGCACATTTGCCTATCAGGCAGAAGCGGCGATATAAATTTGTATAGGTGTGTAATATTCGTTTCCCCGTGATTATTAATTTTTTTGGGAGGTGGTATAGGACAAATCGTCGAACGGGTTGAGGTACAAAGCCGTACAGTAATATCAAATAAATCAGTACCCAATGGTGTGTAAATATAGTTTTATTCTAGGAAATTAATTATGTCAAGACTAGAGTCTATTTCTTATGTACTTATGGATAAATTGTATGGTTTGACCGTATTCAATGTTAGATAAGAACAGTTGTTTAGAAGTTGTTTGCTGCTTGAATGCAGAGTTTAGTAAATTTGATCGATTTGTTTGGTTTGTATGTGACATAAGCAGACCTAAATTGAGAAGGGGAAGTGTTGGTGTTCTGTGTGATTGTTTGGATATTAGTGTACTTTCTATTTTATCCCAGTAGAGTTAAACTTGTGGTGAAAAGTTGAGTGAGGTAGTGTCAAGTATAGCATTGACATTTGTATTGTCTAGCAGTGTCAAGTCTAGCATGGACATTTATATTGTCGCGCCATTTAGGCGTTAAAGTCATGGTTGACTTGTTTTGGAGGTTCGTGAAAGACGTGTTTTCTCTCTGAAGAACGCATTCCCTAACCTGAGTGTATACAGGAAGGTTCCTGTGTTGTATTGTCGTTGACCTGCTAACAACTTGCCAGTTGGAAATTGCTGAAGGACAATTCATAGCACATGTCAATTAATTAGCAGCATGAAGTAATGGTATTGTACACCTCAGCATAGGTGAATCATTTATATGATGATGTTCCAAGCGTTTGCATTGGGAGTAGATTCTCTTATGTCTGTGTTCAGTGGCTGTATTATGAGTCCATTAGTATTTAGTTAGTTGTAAGAACCGAGACTGAGTCGACAAATATATTGTGCGCGGAGCATTAATATTGATTTGGAGATGTGGTATTCCTAATGGAAACGCAAACTCCAAACCAGAGTTTTTCGGGTATAGAGTTTTTAAACATGTTTGCAGTTACATATATTAAGCTATCATGATTGCCTTTTCAAAGTATACCAACTGTAATTTATTTTCCTTGACAAGTTAGAAATGCATCAAATAAGTATAGCATAATTTTATGTGTGTCCCATTTACAAAACCAACAAAAATGAAAGATTTTCAGGGTTGGATCCAGAAGTACCTTTTCTTGAGGGTGGGAGAAATACTTAGGCTACGGTCGTTGAGACGTAATCCCCGGTGGAGACCACAGGGGCGAAACTCGTACATTTCAAGTCTCCCGGGTACACAACTAGCTACACCGTAATATTAAGTAAAGATACAACTATTTGTATGACCATGTGTTTTATTGTATACTTTGCTTAATTGTATATTGATAAATGTTCCTAATGATATAATATGGAGTATACAATTTCTTTTCTCATTTTTACTTGGTAAGTTGTTTGGTATGTAGTTTATTGTTAATGTTGCAAGTATCGGCAATATTTGTCAAGTCTTCTGTTTGTCAAGATAATGAATCGGCTAATTAGTCTCTCGTAGTAATGTCGCATGAGTAAATTTGTCATTCGACAAGACTTTGCGTTGGCTAACTGTCCTCTCCGTGAAATGTCAGTTAGCAGATGTTTGACAACCCAACACTCTAGATTGAGGGATAGAGAAAGTAGAAAGGACAGATAAAAAACTTGTCTTCGTGACTATGTGAGTTAAGAAACTTGAAAACCAAATATGAATAATTTCGTTAGATCACTGACATTTTATTGCTGTAAAAACATCATTCTTGATGGAAAGAAAGCTGTGATGAAAATATCAAATATTGACAAAGATATTGATCAATAAATATTCCATGGATATAGTAAAATTTAAACGTACAGACTTTTGAAGAAAAAAAATGTTTCAGAAAAGCGAACAAGATACGCACCAGTCTAATATATTGTAATCAACATTGGAAAATTGTGGTAATTTTGTATTTTACTCTTCAACTTTACTTACTGCCAGGTTGTCAACATGAAAAATCGTACATACTTTAGCCTTGAAAAAGTAAATAATCATCCATCAATAAAATCACAGAAGTCGATTTAAAATCATATATTATAGAGATAACACAGACAGAATGCGATCAAAAACATGCGTTTGTGCCAAACTTACAATTAAAAATAAGCAATCGCTATCATAATCAGGCTTTCGTTTTTATTCATTTTGAGATTCAAATTTAGTTTGGGTTTATATTGGTTCAGTTGAATTCACATATTAAATGAATTTAAAAAAAAAATAGCATATAATGGAAAAAATATATGACGTCGTATTTTTGAATATGTCTTCTTAATCCATAATACAAAAATGTAGATCTGCTTGGCAGTCTGAATTATAGTCACGTGATCACAGTGAGCATCCGGCCATAGTACACAATTAATTTCACTATATTTTCTCTACATTTGTTTCTCAGTACTGAACTTTCCACTGTGTGACAATCAATACAAATCATATGTTAATCTAAAATACCTTCAAACATGACTTTACGGTTTAGTTCTTGTCAAGGGTTGACCTGCATTTTTTTTGAGAGACTGAATTGTAAACAAAACACCAGGCAACGGAACACAGATTTCACTTCCGGATCATCACCATGACCTTATTACTCAATGTGCACTGTCGTCGAAATTCACACAGACAACCACACCATAAGCTCACATTTTAAAGAATAAACAATTGCCTTTAAATCCTTACCAAGAATGCCAAAATCTGACTCTAGTATCACCACCAAACTTTGACAGGAAAATGTGATCTAAAAATAGACTGGGACTACATTCGTGGGTACTGAACCGGATATTATTAATTGTGTACTGATTCATGAAAGGGTCAATGTTTTTGTCAAACTTTTTTTTGCATGCCACTACTATTTCAACTTCATACATAAAGTCTTTTGAAATTTCATTGCAAGCAAAACACGTGACAGCTATCAGAAAGTGTGTAGTGCTGGTGTTCTATAGGGATCCAATTGTTCTTAAGAAACCAAAACTAAATTTGCTATATCTTCCTTAATTATAGGAATTTTTCAATGCAGTAAAAACCTAATTGTAATACTTGATAAGGCCTGTCTGAAAATATTCTTAAAATTACAAAATATTGATATATTAAATTTTAATGAAAATTTAAATAAATATATAAATTTTAAAAACTATTTATTTTACAAAAATTAAATTTTCATACAAGTTATGACATTCAGTTTGACAAATTTAAGGCAGAAAAGTTGATTAATGAATGGTGTTTAAAACAAATGGTAGTTTAGGTCTGTACAACATAATATTAATCCCAGGGGTACTGAAGCATGATAGCTCACAATGATCTTGACCGCAAATTGCAACATGCCTATCCAGATGCATATAGGTGTACATACTAAAGAAACAATGACAGGTGCTATGTTCCACATTTATTGTTTTAGGTACTTGGGCAGTTGTTTGTATAACTAATAGCCCACTCAAATTTTAAAGTTTTGAAGGGACCACTACCATGTTTTATAGCAAATATGCATTCCATTTTAATGCCGATAACTACAAAAGTCAACAATGCAATATGAAAATACAGTTTCAGGGAAGTTCCACCTTACTGAAAAATTATGTGAATCTCTGTCATGAAGATCTAAGCCATGTCTTTGAGATGCTGTATATCAGTGTACTGATATGAGCTCATCTTGGTCACTTATAGCAGCAGACTGCACATGTCCTTATGAGACCTTGCTATCACCATTGGACTACTGGAGAGCTTCCAAAATGATACAACTCTAATACTTTGTTCCAGATACCAGGCTAGACCTGAAAAGATATAACATGTTTCACATAATTCTAAAAAAAACAGAAAGATGTAGGCAAATGAAGTTAAAATGTGTTAGAAATGGTGATTTCAAAATAACATTAAGGTTGCAAATAGGGTTAAAAAAGGTAAACTTGATAAAGTAACACTCAAAGATGTGAAGCAATGGGCATGTATTAAAGTGACAAATGCAT